TGGCTGAATGGGCTGACATGCAGAGCTCAGGCAGTGCCCTCCCTGTGCTCATGCAGAAGTTGGTGACATTTTGGTGTCTTTCACATCTTCACAAAAGGAGACGCAAATCTGCCAAATCTTTCGTTTGTTGACAGTTTTGCCTTCTGTCACCAAGTCTATGTTGAGGATTGGTCTTGGTCTGCTGTATCAAAGATAAAGTGATTGTAGCTAAGATTTTGACATCTTAATTCTTTCTGAGAGTGGAAGCCAGACAAATAGCTCTGTTCTTTAAGCAATGTCAGGCACAGCCTGGGCTGAGCAGTATGTTCGTGCACGCACGAGCGCTGCGCGTTGTCACGGAAAGGAAAGTGCTCTTGCCTCAGCAGCTCTTTGTATCCCAGTGTGGGATTTCAAACTTCATTATCAGTTTTGAAATTCACTTTGGCACTTGAACCAGAAATAAATAAATAAATAAATAAATAAATACATCACAATGTGAAGAGCTCAGGCTCCCTGCTGAGCCACCTCTCCTGGCAGAAAGCTGCTCCCGGCAATTCTGATCTCACATCAGACTCACTGTTCCCTTTCCTATATCTCTAGCCTTTGTCTCCTGGTAGACTTTACCTCATTTCTCTTGTCTTTCTCCTCTGATGAAAGTAATGTTGATCTCTTTTTCCCCACCATGCTTCCAAGTGTGTGGATCCGGCAACATGACCTGACATCTCTAGAATGTCCTGTGATAGGGATTTCACAGTGCTTGAAGAGTAAAAGATCCATTGGTCGTGTCCAAATGTCTGCTGTGCTGCACTACAAATGTATGCTAGGATATGCTGGCCTTTCCCAGGCTGGTTGTGGAAAACAAGCTGTTTCTATGGCCATGGTGTAAGGTTTGTACGTAGTACATTCAAGATTGCAGAATCTTTCCATCAGGCAAAGGATTGAAGCTTAAGGCAGAGCACCTGTAATAGCAAACAGGCATTGCCACAGCATTTAAATGCAAACAGGTAAATGCAAACAGGTCTGTCTGAAAATTCTTGGATCCCATCTCCTGAGACCCCCGAAACTCATGGACGTTTCCATCACTTGCAGCTAAGCAGGGCCACATCTTATGGCACTGTGACAGCCAGCTCATTGCAGTGTGCTGAACAGCACCCATGGTGGGATTCCTGCTGGTGCAGTAATGCAGCCAATGGGAGGAAGTAAACAACTGCTTCATCAAACTTGTAATTGACCCTGCTGACATCTCGCCACCAAGAAATGGGATTGTCTGAAGCTTAATCCTTGCCTGAATAGCTACTGATGAACAGCAAGGAGAGGCAGCAACAGAGACTCCTCATTGTAATGAATGTTGTATAGAAAGTGGAAAACTCCAAAAATTCCCTGCTAGTGTCTGTGATATTCAAAACAGAACAAGAGCTTGATTCTCCATAAGATCATTTCTGAAGGTATCACTGAAGTAGAGTTCAAAGCATTCAGTGTATTTCAGCATGTAACATGCAGCACTTGAAAATCATCCTCCTGTAGCAAATGGAGCTAGCGCTGCCGTGCAGAAATTAACCCAGTGTTTGGAAGAGCTCAGAACCAAGATGCATTTAAAGCTTCTTGCAGACTGAAGACTGGATCTGTAGGAAGCAGTCAATAGCACCCAAAGCTGAAGTGTTGGCAAGATAAACTGCTAGCTTATATCCAGTACGGTCTTCAGCAAAATATCAGGGAGAAAGCAAAATGTTGTGCTCTAAAGCTGACACAAAGTAAGCTACAAGCAAAGGGAAATCAGCAAAGATTGCAGCAGCACTCTTGGTCTGATTTTATTTCTTACAACTATTCCATTTTCTTCCCTTAAACCACTCTCTCCTAGAGTCACTGGACTCCATGAGAATGTGGGTTGATCACATTGAGATCTCATGGTCACAGAACAGATCTTGAGGGTGAGAGCATGAATGGCTTAAGAGATAAAAAGCAGAACTCAGCATTTATTAGGCTTTGATGACTACTAAGTGCTGGGGAGCTGACATGGCAGCACTGTTTTACTCCTAATCGTATGTCAGAGAAAATAAAACAAAGATGCAACTGTGTCCTATCAAGACACTCCATCTGGAGAATCTTGTCACTTGATCTTTGCCCTTATGAAGCACAAATCCACTTAAGAGAGATGCAGTGCTGTACATCATGGCTGATTACGTGTATCTTAATCCAGTCTCAGGATGTACACTGCCATTCCCATGCAGCATTTGAAATGCTGTCAGAGCATCATAATATTTCACTTAATTGAAAATCCATTACTCTACTTGGTTCACCTTTTCCTTACACAAGTGCATCTCTGTTGACCTCCAGGAAGTTCAGATGTGGAGAATGGGAGCAGAATTAAAGTCCATCCCACAGCAGCTTCAGCCCATTCCTGAAGTAATTCAACCCTATATGGGAAATGTGCTTTAATCTTTGGGTGAAGGGCAGCTAGCATCCCAAGTACCTTCATTACAGTAGGTGTGTGCCCATGTTGGTGAGCATTCTGTGCAAGTGTGTGTGTTTGAGTTAACCCAGTTGCAAGAACAGCAAATGGCATTTCTCTGAAGCTCTGCAGAGTGAGGGCTGTGGACCAAAAGAGGACTCAGAGAGGGATCTATGCCAGGGTTGGGATAGGAGCAGCTCCTCTCAAAAGCAGCATCTTTGTCATATTCAGAAATAGGGTGAGGAAATAGTCTAGCTTTTCCAGACAGTGATTTATTACTGCCAAAGAAAGAAGGACTCATGACAGAGATTGAGGGCATGAAAGACGTTAAAAATATTTAGTTCTCCTTGGACTGTGAGTGAAGTGTGGTATGAGGGAGGGGAGTGGTGAGACAGCTAGGGAAAGCTGCAGGTTCTAGAAGGAAAAATACTCAGCTAAGTTTCTGGGCAGCCTGGTTTGGTGGTCTGGGCAGCTGGATCTGGTGGTTGGCAGCCCTGCACATGGCAGGGGGGATGGAACTAGATGAGCAGTGTGGTCTTTTTCAACCCAGGCCATTCTATGATTTTAAGTGGTTCCCTTTTGGTATATTGCCTCCCTCAAAGACTTATTCAAGGAAAAAATGTACTTAAAATAAGTTCAAAATTAAATGGACTTGATTGTCTTCAGAACGATTTAAACAACTCCTAGTGAGTCTTTCCATTTGAACTCAGAGAGGGCACTGATGTCTGTGTGTCCCTCTGGCATGGGGTGAGAGGAGGCAGCACTGCCAAAGACAGGAGAGCAGAGACGTGTCCTTCTGCTTAACAGGGAATTAAGGATTCTTATCTCACAGTTTTCTTTCGTAGGCACATTTGTAATTCGTAAGCAGAAGGAAAACCTCTCATTCTGGGGAAGTAAGTCTGTCCTGTTTTTGCACTGAGCCTTATCTGGGAACAGTTAGTGTGGGAGAATCTGACAAGCCCTAGAGGCTTTGCAGGGCGGTTATTTATTGTTCTTTGTTACAAAGCAATAAATCCATATACAGTAGTGAATAAGCAGAGAGTCCTGAGTGTTCCCATCCAACCTGTGCCTGCTGGAGCATTTTTCCCACAAAGCCAAGACCAGCTGGAGATTTATAGCAAGTGCTTATGGTGGGGAGAAGAGGGCTAGGGGGCTGGTGGCTGGTATTTGTGCCACTGGGCACCATCACAGGTATCACCTGGTGCTCTGACAGTGGGGCTCTTGGATGAAACATTCCTGTCGTGCTTTTACAGTGTGGTAGACAGGGTCCAATTCAGGACACAGGGTTTCCATTCATTTTGCCTCCCCTGTTGATGAGCTGCAAGCTATGCAGCACCTAGCACAGCCCACTACAGCATCCTGCCTACCTCTCCAGAACTTCAGCAATCCAAATAATAAAGTGCAGCGTTCATTGCCAATTCAGCTCCCTGTGGGAAGGTGGTGACTCGCTTGACTTTGATCATGCTATAGTGATCATGAATATTTACAGCCAGCTCCTTTGCTGCAAGCTACAGACAAAAAGCTCTGGAAATGCCAGGAAACCCCGAGTGTCCCCTCTGCCACCTTGGCTTCTCCGAGTAATTCCTTCTCTTCTCTGGTGCAGATCAAGTTGTTAGCATGCAAGGCAGTGCCAGCACAGACTGTACTGAGTTCTGAGTGACACTGATGTGTGCAGGGAAGGTCTGTAATGAGCAGAAGTTTGGTAATTAGGCACTTCAGCACAAGCTGCAGTAAAGGGACATTCGGGGACAGATTTATTGGGGGAAAGAAGGAGGGCAAAGGGGGTGTGTGGTCCTCTCGTCAGCATTATTAGCATGGATGATACTCTGTACTGCAAACCAGGAGGAAGGGGTGTGAGCATTGCAGCACACACACCTTGTCCCTGCAGCACTACAGGGCAAGTGGGCCCTTTTGCAGTCCTGTGCCCTTGAAGAGGTGTCAGTTACTGATAGAAAGCACCACTCATCCCCAAACATTGCTCTGGCATCAGACGCCGTGCCCTTGTATTCCCCTCTAAATGACAGGATGGAAATGCAATTCTTTAGGCAGAAACACAGACAGGTTAACATAAATGCAGGGAGCAACAGGGATCCAGCAGTAAGTGGAGAAAATCTGGACTTGTGCAGCTCTAAGTGAGGAAAAAAAAATGTTTGTAGTGAGCAGGTGAGAACACAGAGGAGAGGAAAAGCAGGCCATGGGTGCAGCTTCATGCGAGTAAATGTGATATTTGTTTTTGCCTGTGTCCTTCAGGCATCTGCTCCCAGTTCTTCCTCTGTGTTGTGTTAGTGAGGATGGTACTCAGGGAATGAGGAGCTGTGCTCATGGTGTAACTGACTGAGGATAAGATTAAGGTTAAAACATCAGGCATCTATTTGGGAAATATAACAAAGGTGTCTGCAAACTTGCCATGCATTAAGGCAATTGCTCTGTCCTGCACCAGGTTTACCTGCACCAACCTAGCTTGGTGTGAAAGAGTCAGGTATGGGAATCCTGTGATATGTAGTTGTCCCCACATGGGTGCCATTTGTTACATGGCCTGGTAACTCCCTTTCTTCTTCTCTCCTCTGTGCAGTACAAGCAAGTGGAACAGTATATGTCCTTCCACAAGCTCCCTGCAGACATGAGGCAGCGCATCCATGATTACTATGAGCACCGCTACCAGGGGAAGATGTTTGATGAAGAGAGCATCCTGGGAGAGCTGAGCGAGCCCCTCCGAGAGGTGAGGATGGTGCATGTTCCTGCCATCTTTGGCAGCTGCTCACTGTCCTGTCCCCATGGTTTGCAGAGGAGACAGTGCCCTGGCAGGTGCTCATCACACGAATGGTTTTAGCTTGGCAGCTCTTGAGCCCATGGCAATGTTGGAGAGGAGCAGCATGTTACAAGACAGGTCATGTTGGTGAGGATAAGACAGCCACGTGCTTTGAACCCTTTTAGGAAAGAGTTTGTTTGCTTTCCTGAGCCTGGCTAACCTCTGGCTGGCTATATAGCGCACAGAAGTACCCACTGCCCCTTTGTGTCCTTAAGGGCACTGTTAGATCTCTCCAGCAGATTCTGGTGGGGATGTGGAGATGATTTTCACTCCCGTTCCTGCACGTTTTGACTCTCCAATCTTCTCCCCTTTTTGTTTGTACAACAGACATAAGCATCTTAATCCTGCTGAGCTCCCCCTCCTTCAGTTGCTCCTGTCCTTTATTCCTGTGCACTGTAAGGGTCTGTTACCTTGCATTGCAGACTCAGTACTATGGATAAATACCCTGGGATTTTTGAGAATGGTATGATGTCTAAAAGGGCAACCCTGGAAGAGAAGTCTCAGTAAGAAGGAGACACATGCTTCCCCTGCCCTCCTTCTTCCCGCTCCAGTCATCCAGGTCCATCTCCTATGCTTGACTGGGGAGCATTGTGCTGGGTGATGTATTCAATATCACTTTCTGCTGCCTTCTGAGTCTGAGCTGACATGGCACAGAGCAGCTCCTGTGCAATGGAAAATGCTGTCATACCCTCTGAGTGACACCAAGCCACAGGAAGAGGCACAGTTCCCGTCTGCTCTGTGACAGCTGAACAGCTGAATTGGGTTTTCTTCAGCTGAGGTTGATGATCCAGCCCATGCCCCAGTGACTGGTGGGCACCTCTCCCTCCCTCCTCTTGACACTGTTCCCAGCTGCCCAGGATAATTATTTCTCTGAGAGCCATGGCACATTTGTGCTGTTTAATATCTCATTGTCAAGCAAGGGCAATGGAGTACGTAGGGCTGCCAAGGTGAGTTATAACATTTTCCCAGAGTGGAGCTCTGGGCTTTTTCATGCACAGTTTTACCACCGCTATGCACCTCTCATATACTCCAAAGCTTTCTGCAGGAAGAGATATATTTTATGTATTTGGGAGGATGAGGGAAATCACTCTTTTGTCCCTGCTCAAAGGGAAAGCATATGAATGAAAGCAGTGAAGCATGGTGTCAAACTATCAGCTTCAGTTAGCACTGCTACGTGCTGTGAGCATCCAGAGGCCCATTCTAGCCAACACTGGGGGAGCCAGACTAAGGGAACAGCATCTTTTTTGACTATTTAATGTACAGTGTGAATTTTTTAATATAAGTGGGAGAATGTCATTATGTTATTAGATGTTGACTAAGCATACGTGTGTGTCTTTTCTGCTTCCTTGTCCCATCTTTTCTTCCTGTTTCTCTCCCCCACCCTCTCTTTCTCTTTTTATTCACTGTGCCATCAGGAAATCATAAACTTCAACTGCCGGAAGCTGGTTGCCTCCATGCCACTCTTTGCCAATGCAGATCCCAACTTTGTGACATCCATGTTGACCAAGCTGCGGTTTGAGGTATTCCAGCCTGGGGATTACATCATTCGGGAGGGCACCATTGGCAAGAAGATGTACTTCATCCAGCACGGGGTGGTGAGTGTCCTCACCAAAGGCAACAAGGAGACCAAGCTGGCAGATGGCTCCTACTTTGGAGGTGCGTGTTTATGGGTCACCTTTTCACAGTGAGGCCCACTGCTAGTGTTCATATCACCCTTAACTTGTCCTGGATACACAGGTGGAGCAGCATGTGGTACTGATATCTCAGCCACTTCTTCATCCACCCTCTGTTCATCTCAGCTGTCTTGCAGCTTCTCATATAGTAAATTGTACAGTGGGTTGTGTCTGGGACTTACGGGCATTGCAGGAGTCTGGACTATAAATAATAAAAAGGGGAGAAGGAAAACTAAGCTCTTGTAGTTTCATTTCCTTCTGTCCCAAGCAAACTGATGGATCTGTGAAGCTGAGAAAAAATGGAGCATTCTCTGTTTTCCAAGCACATTTATAGTGTTGCCTATTCCTACTGTCTGGCATCTATCATATGAAGTACTGTATAAACATGGAGGGAAAAACATAGTCCATCATCTCCCCAGTCTGTGGCTCAGCAAAACATTGTGAAGGTCAGCAGGCAGGTATAATGTGTCAGCAGCAGTGAAACTAGTACAAGGTCAGAAAACACCATAAGAGAAGTTTTAGGATACTGCTAACAGAGTAACACAGAACTACCCAGCTGTCAGAGCCCTGCAAAGACCTCACTGACACTCCAGGACAGACAGTTCTCAGGTAGATGTGGGTTTCAGTACAAGTGCTGAACATTCACCACTGTCTACTGAGAGGGGGTAGAATGAAACCTGCACTTCTATAAGGACTATTCTGTATTAAATCCTCATCTTACACTCACAGTTCCTGCAAAGAAAACCTGTTTGCACCCACCTGCTGGCTCTTTGGTACAGAGATTTTGCACGTCACTAGCAAGTTGGGTTTGCTTGCTGGGATTTGGAGTTAGAATGCTGGAATAAGGATGATACACACACAGTTCCTCACACATTCAAAGATAGCAATGTCTTATAAGCACCTTTTCCTTAGGAAAGCAGCCTAAAAGAAGGAAAGCACCACTTTGTAGTGCTGCTATATGAGTGCCTTGGGATGGACCCAGAGTGAATCCTCAGTATGGTGCTGATAGATTCACACTCAGCAGCACAGAGAAGTATGCTGTCAGTGACAAGACCTTCTGTCTTTAGGTCACACCAGGTATTTCAGTGCCTGTCTTAGGTGCCCTGACTCTGTGTTCAGTCAATGGAAAAGCAGCCTCAGGAGCTCTGTGCTGAAAGTTCAAGGAGCATGCCCAAATGGGGTGTTTTTGCTGGAGTCAAGAACTTTTTGTTCTCTAACCAGCTGAACACCCTCCTAGGAGTACCTGACTTCAGTGTAAATACATCTAGAGTAGTGGTGAGTGAATGCCACTAACTTGGTTCATCCTGACTATCTGTAAGCTTGTGACAGATCTGCAAGCAGCTTCCAAGCATCTTTGAAAAGACAAATGTTTTGAGTATGAGGATCACAGTTATTAACAGGCAGTAAGGCCACAGGTCAGCACAGAGCCTCTACTGCAAATCTAGGGAGAGAATTAGCTTCAATGAGGGCACGACATGACCTTCTGCTCCCAGTGCCCATGAGGAGCTGGAGAAAGACAGCTTCTCCATTCTGAATGCACAAGTGATATCTTTGATAATCCACCATAACAAAACTTGACTGGCTAATTAGATCAGCGGAATCCCTGAGGTGCGGGTGCGTGTAGCAGCTGCCACAACTGAGCCCCCTGGTATTTTATTGCTTAAATGGAGAACATTGCTTAAATGGAGAACATTCCTACTGTTTCTGCTTTCAGCAAAGGGAAAGCTGGTAAATTGTACAGTGGGTTGTGTCCGGCTTGAGAGAGGACCGGGTGGCAGACAGGACTGCTGAGCAACAGCGCCAGGTTTTGTCACGTGGGGTTGATGCTCTGTGTCCCCACGTTCTCAAGCTGGGTCTTTCATTCCAGAAATTTGTTTGCTGACTCGTGGCCGGCGCACAGCCAGTGTGCGAGCTGACACCTACTGCCGGCTCTACTCCCTCTCAGTGGACAACTTCAACGAGGTGCTGGAAGAGTACCCCATGATGCGGCGAGCTTTTGAAACGGTGGCTCTTGACAGGCTGGACAGAATTGGTAAGTAGAAGGCTTGAAGGTCTCTTTTCTTCAACTTGCTGCCCTGGCATCCTATCCCCAGACATGGTCCTTCGTTCCTTTGCTGGAGCTGTAAACTGAAAGAGATCCTGCTCTGTCTTTCCTTGCCTGACTTCTTGCAAGGATACCCATTCAGTTAAGAAGATCAGTGAAAACCTCATTCTTCTCTTTCTCTCTCATACACATTTCTGCCTGCTTCAAGATCAGTCTGACCCCACAGGGTCCACCCCACAAGGGTGAATTCACTACAGTTTGAATTTTAGCTCAGAATGTGGAAATACCCACAGCCTCCCAGGTTCAAGAGAAAGTAGGCCATGCTGTGACCTCCATCAAGTACCACAAGCAAATCATTCACTTCATTGAAATGTTCTGCTGCAGAAATCATCTCTCAGCATGAGAACTTTGTTAGAGTGTGACCTGTTTTTACACAGATGCTGGCTGGGATACTACTGCATGGGTTAATGGTATTAATTTTTTAAACTTAAAACAAAAATTGGCAGCTACATTGATGAGGAAGGATCTTCTCTGGTATATCAGTGCATAATGAAATGCAGACCATAACGCATCTTCATGGGGCAGTGCTTTTCTGGTCGTAGTTTACAAGCAGCTGGAGAAGCAAGAAGTGCTGTTAGGGAAGGGAAAGCTTGGTGTGCTTTCTGATCTCTTGTGCAAAACCATCAGCAGAACACAACCACGAGGCACCTGTCCAGCTGTCCATTAGAGTCCAACTATAAATGCCTTCTGTAGAAACAGGCAGCCAAACAAAGACATGGAACAGTTGCAAAAAAAACTTCTCACACCTAAAGTTAACCAAAGAGTATTACTGGATTGCAGTAGCTCGCAGTGGCCCATGTCAGGATGCTGTCCTGCCCTGGGGAAGGCATAACTTGTGCTGCAAACATCCTTTTCTAGCCAGGGACCGGGGCACCAGTTGGTCATGACCAGAAAAAATTTAACATGAAGACATTAAGTGATTTAAAGAACGTCATGCACAAAATATCTGCAGAGCTGTGGACTGAGCATGGAGTCCTAGTCTAACTTCTTAAGTTTCTTATTATACATTGCTTAAAGCTGCATGCATTTCCGTTGCTTTTCAGAATCAAAAAGGTCAGCACAAGTCTGAGTACAACGCAGAAAGCAAGGAGGATAATGGAGTGAGGGGGATAGGGAGGAAGCTGGCAGCCCATGAAGGGGTGCAGTGCCTCTGGGGCCTTTTTTGTGGGGAACATTGTGTTCTGTGCATCTCATTACCTGCTTCAAACCAGAAAGTGTGACCCTTGAGGAAAAGGTTATGAGCTAAATATGTAGAGTTTGGCCACTAATGAGGCCCTAGTGTATGTGGCAACAGCCTTACCACATGGTTATTTAAATGAGACTGAACTAACTCCTAGAAAATGTAATGTCAGACACAACCAAGGCTGGGGCAGCTTGGCTTCATCTCAAATTCTTCAGCTTTAGATGGTCAGCACTGCTCAGCTTCCTGGCCTGAAGCTCTTCGTGACTGCAGATACAGGTGAGCAGGGTGTTGTGTGCTCCTTGTCCTTTGCTCTGTGCGCAGCTGCATTCATGGAAAATGTAGCAGAGACTGTTTGCCAGCAGTGATGCAGAACTTCTAGGAAGTTCCCAAAACCACTGTGCAATTATGTAAATCCATGGGTGTTTAACCGGTGGTAAGACTGACAGCTAGGATGGTACTAGTTCCTAAGTGAGCAAATTTGAAGCTAGCTGGGTATGTCTTCTCCTCCTGCAGTCCTTGAGCTTCTGTGTAGACATAACTTTGCTAGTGTGAGCCTTTCACAGTGTGGATCAAAGTGAGTTGCCAGAAGTCACAATAAAAGTCATCATTAGTGCAGGGAATTACACAGCAGAGAAACTGAGACATGGGGAGGTAAAGCCCACCTGCTCCAGATTGCACTGAGTCAGGGATATTACAAAGAGTAAACCTTGCTGGTTCAACTCCTAAGTCTGTAAGCACAAGGCAGCACTCCCTTCCCACAACTTCATCAGAACTATGTTCGAACTGCTTTTGTGATGTTGCTTGACCATGAATCAAACCTCTCATCTAGGACATTTCCTTGCAGGCAGCCTTTTGGTACGTAGCCCTTTCCGTTTTCAGCATGGAAGAAAGCAGGAAAGGTTAGCCAGATGGAAACCTCCATGTGTGTGCTGCTGTGGGACAGCTTCCTTGAAGTGATGGTCAAGGGGGAGAGCTGCTTCTCACAACTCTGCTTTCCAAACCAGCAAAAAAGAACCTCATTTTCTTCTCCGTCAGGAGAAATTCCCTTGCACATGCAGCTGCAAAATGTCAACATAAGGTCAGAAGGTGACACAGAGCTACTGAAATAACAGAGCTCTGGCACTGTCCTCCCCTCCTTTTGCCATTCTGCTGACATGAGAAAGTATCAGTCCCTACACTATATAAAAAGCATGTAGCTTCAGAGGAAAATCCTAATGCCATCCCCGTTAAATTGAGAGCTGCCTGTTACTAGCTTTACATCCTCTACTATTGCAAAATAGTATACTCATAGCACTTTCCCACCCCTCTGTGCTCAACATTCTTTGTCTGGAATTTCCCTAAAGAGCCAATTTCCTACTGAAATTGGCAGATTCCATGGAAATCCCTGCCTTTTATAAATAAAGCTTTTTCTTCACCTTCCACTGAAATGTGTGCCATCCAGCAGCAGCACAGCAGCTGTGTAACAGCATGTGACTGTTTAGTGAAGTCAGGAATACTGCACTAAGCTGAGGCTCTCTCTGGAAGTAAGGGGACTGCTGAAGGGACCTGAGGGAGAGGGACAGAGGCACAGAAAAGCCGAGTATGAACTGAAGTAGAACAGTACTTTTGGTTCTTGTTCAGCTTAGGATCTGTACTCAAGATGGAAGCAAGTGGGAGCCTCCTTCCAAGTCAGTAGTGCATTCACTGACTCCCTTCTGCCCAGATGACAACATGTCTTCGAGAAGTTCCAGCCTGAGGACATGAGATGATTCAGAGGGCTCTGTCACTGCCAGGATGGGTCCATCTGGTATTCCGCATTTGCAGTGAGGAAGCAGAAAAGCAGAGAGAAGAAAGTCCATCCCGCCACAGGGGAGATGTTTACAGGATTAGCAGCTGTACTGGGGATTTGGAAGTGTGATCTAAGTTTGCTAAGTAGCAGAGAGGATGAAAATATGAGCCCTCACCCCTTGAAGCAACAGGAGCAGTACTGCTTGACTGAAGGTGCAGCGAGGCATTCGCTTTGCAGAGCAAATGCAGTCTGAAAGCCCGTGGCTAGGCAGAGGGGAAGGAGAGAGGCAGGTGCATGCTGATCTGCGTGCCCCCATTGCTTCCTGCTGGTACACGGGTACTGCAGCAGCAGGAAGGGCACAGCCCCTGAGAGCTGTCAGCTCCATTGATCGCTCTGCCGAAGAGCGCGTCGATGCATCCTCCCAACCTCTGTTGTTAATGGGGATTGATACTGGCATCCTGCCTGGGCCACGTGTGGCTGGGGAAGAGGTTTCCCAGGTGTTTTGCACTTGCGGAGTTCTTTAAAGACTGGAAAGGATTAGTCTCCAGGAATTGACTAGGGCCTGATTCTGCAGTGATTTGTGTCCCTGCTTAACTCTCTCTTTGAGTAACTTCAGACTTTAAAGTACTCCTCAGGCTGCTGAAAATCACATGCATAGCTCTCCATAGGCTCAGAGCCTGAAGATGGAGACTTGAGGAAATCAGGCTGATCAGTGATTAATGATGAATTTAGGGTTAAATTTCCTCCTGTTCTTGACCAATCTGTAAAACTCTTTGCAGTGTGTGTTTAACTGATTTGTTCCTTTCTCCAGTGAGTGATTCTTTGTATGCTCTTATGTGAGCAGGCCCTGTTTGTGACATGTCAGTTATATAAACTGCGTGGTTTCAATCCTGCCTGGCTGTGAATCTGGCTTGGGGTGATCACTGAAGCTTAAAATTAGATTTTCACAAGTGTTTGCACTTGTAAAACACAACCACTCCAGTGTTCACTGAAAGTTAACACAATATGGGTTGTGAATATTGTCAGATCAGAATTCCCTCATCCGTTCAAAAAATAGTGGGAGACAATTATTTTCTGATTTTTAAATCTAGATGTCTGCCATGAGGTTCCCTACCATCCATACAAAAGTCGCTGCTGGGAGCTGAAGGAGCATTCTGAAGCCAGAAGAAGTCATTTTTTTCAATTTCTTTGGGAATATCTCACTTCAAGTGGTTTGAAATGCATATGTTTTGAATGCCAGTTGCATGGATTTTGGTCCAGGGATCTCAGTTAATGGATTAAAAATGCCTTGCATTTCCTCCAGGCATTGCAGATGCTAAAAAACAAATCTAAGGCAACACAGTACCAGTCTAAATATTATTACGTAATGTTATTACAGCACAAGAGTGCCTGTTAAAAATATTATAGTGGCAGAAGTTCTAAAAGCTTTGTCATCCAAGCCACAAAATAGCTGTTCTCAAACTTTTCCACTGGGCACCCTGTTTGTCAGCTCATGATCACTCTTCTGCAGTTGAAATTGAAATCCTGTTGGGTTTGCAACCTTGCTTGTCTAAGTCATGGCTGCTACTGTGGGATCCGCTGGCACAGAGGTGGGACTGGCCTGTGTTAGGCTGGGTGAGCTGAGAATGAGAAGTCTGGGACCTGTGCCAGGCTCTGCCACAGATTCCCTGTTTGTCCTTGTCGTGCCTTTGCAACCTGCCTCAGTTCCTCGTCTCTTCTACAGGGAAAATAATATTAGTAAAGGAGGAGCCCAGCCTGAACGCATCTTAGCTACCTGCTCCCTTGTGGCAGGTGCCATGCAAGATCACATGAAACGGACTGAAATGTGTATAAATAAAGCAGTCTGTGCTCAGCACAGCGTGTACTCTGCATCCACACTGAGGTCCCAATTTTGTTTATGCAGGTGATTAACCCCCAAAGATCTGCACGTGTGAGATGAGCAAGCAGATTTGCTCACAGGGCTATATATATATATGTCTCTTAGTTGCAGTTGCTGATAAAGGCTAAGGTGATGAAAACTTATTATCCAAGTACTGAGCTGCTGTGATATCGATGCTTGACAAGTGAAAACACAGGTTTTCCTGTGTTGATTCCTCTCTGGTCACCTGAAAAACCCATAAATGTGACTGTTTATAGGGAACTGGGGTTCAAATACTGCTGTGTGTGTTTCTCTGACCTGAAATCCTCTCCCATTGTACAATGTGCAGACCCAAATCTGACTTTTACAGTCAGCAAAGAAAAAAAGGCATTTCTAGGGTATGATTCATCTTCTTTGAGATGGCTGTCTGAAATGGCCTCGGTGAGCCACACCTGGCAATGCAGTCCAGCCCTGGTATAGGTATCTTCAAGATAGGAGTGCAAACTTAGGCAGGAATTCAGTTTCTGAATTGCTTTTTCTTTGGAATTGAAGGCCCAGACTCAGTGTACATCAGCCTAAGGAAAGCTATCGATTGGCAGCTCACCATGAGTGAGCGCACATGACTTCAGCTTAATTAAGGTGAACTGGCAACCCTGTCTGAATGTGGAAGCGCTGTTTCGCAAGCAAGTCTGGAAGGAAAATAAAGCCTAAGATATCTCGACAGAAGGGGGGCAGTGATGAGATCTCAGGAGATCTGCCCTTGACTTTGTAAATAACCTTGATCACATCAGTTGATCCCAACCCTTGTCTACCTTGCAGAGGGTGAGTTTGCTGGGCTGGGTCACTGATACCACAGGCAGTTAGTTGATGAGCTAGGAGACTTTTAGCAGAAGCAAGAGGGGGGAGTGATAGGAAATGCAATATATTTGTGCCCCATATCCATGGGTCCCCCAAGTTACCAGCTTGCTTTTGGATTTAGAGATCCACGCTCACAGCTGTTTGCTATCAGCATCAAAATAAAACACCTCCTCAGATAGTATTTTCCCATTCAAACACCTTTTAAAATACTCTCAACCCTCTGTTAAATGATGTGAAGTACGACCTACTTACCAACCACACCTCTAAACTTAGGGGACTTTTCCTGCTTCGAGGGCAGCCTGGTAGCTACCTGCCACCAGATAACAGAAAACAGTTCCAGAATGTCATCAGTCCAGAGCCTTCCAGAATCTGTCCCTGTCACAGCTGTCAGCTCCAGCAGGGCACAGAGAATTGAGTGCAGAAGCTTTGGCTTCGGATACAAGCACTCCTGCCACTTGAGGAGAAGATGACTCTGACTTCAGTCTGCAGCAATAAGTAACAAACACTGTGTTCAGAATTGCACAGTTCTTACACCCTTTCATGGCTATTCACGATGTTTGACTTTTTTTTTTTTTTCTGCAGAGCTCTGTAGAGGCACATAAATGGGAGAAGTGAGAGAGGAGCATCATAAACTTAGTTTATTTCAAGTTTTGCTTAACAATCATAAGATTCATCAGATAACATTATTCACTGTATACCATTTGACCCAGTTAGGGGTTTGTTTAGGTGGTAATAAGACAACAGACTCAGCTAACCACCCCATACAAAGAGCTCTGTGCTGATAAAATTAATATCCCTATCCATATGGCACTTTCCTGCAATAAACCCCTGTGTACAGGTTTAACTCCAAATAGGCTTGTGGGGAACAAAGGGAGAAGGGAGTGTTGTTGTACATTAACTGTATTTCAGGTGGTACAGCTTTCACAACATAAACTTCATTATGCAGGTGGGTGCTGCCTTATCACAGTGTAAGAGCACACATATGGCAACTTCTGCAGAGCAGTCCATCAGGAACTGCACATCCAGTTTGTAAGTGTTTACACAGCCAGGCCCTCAGGAGGGTTAACGTGAATTACTTTCTAGAGCAGATTTGTGAAGTGCCCCGAACTCCTTTGTGGATGCTCTTACACAGAGTCAAGCTGCTGAGATCCAGCTGGCTTTGCCTTGCTTCTGGGAGCTGCTCAGTTCTGAGCAGAACCCTTCTCGTGGCGGTTTGTGCAGTTCAGCGTGGGGTGACCTACATCTGAGAGAAAGCTGGGCTCAAACGGGGGAAGAGCACATACACGGGGAGTGGAGAATTATTTTGAAACCTCTCTTCCAGCTGATTTCCCTGTTTATGCAGACCCTAAGACAGTGGTGCAGTGAGACCTTGCAGCCAACGCAGCGCCAGTGCAGGACTCCCCAGGGCACGGAAACAGCTGTGGGAAGGGAGGGCAGCGACCACCTCCATCCCTGCGCTGTGCCATGGGCTGTGCTGCTGGCCACGACCTGAGCAGAGTGCTCCAAACCCAGCTGTATGAGTAACAAGAGGAGAAGAAGTAACCGAAGTGGCAGGGGGCAGCCACTCTGACAGCAGGCCGGGGCATAAGCCAGCCTAATAAAGTGAGATTATTTCAAATGCATGCAAATTCAAAAAGCAAATCAGTGACCTGAATTCTTAAACTGCAGCCAGCAGACTTAGACAGAACTGAAAAGAGAAATGAACAGAAAGCTACAGCTAATTTCCCCTGTGTGTCTGTGCAGAATTTCAACAACAGAAAGCTAATTTTGATTATTTGATAGAAGAATTATTGTTGAGTGCTGGCTCTTTTAATGAAATTGCATGAGCCTTTCTCCCCATTCTTTTGTATGCTATCTACAGCCGAGGAAAATCTGACTTTGCAATTCTTTATTAAGGGAGCAACATCTATTAGCTTAGTTTCCACAATTTCACATACCCTCCTCCACTTCAAAGCATCAGTAGCTTTGTTACAAACACGTCTTAGGCTCCGAAGATCTTTTTTTCTCCTGCATTTCGTCCATTGCTGCAGCAAGGAATTTATTTTTGTCTGACCATGGGAAGAATAAAACATACTGTGCTAAGAGCTGTAGAAAGAGAACAAAAAAGTGAGTTGTGGGGGTCCTTTAGTGCTTTAACTGTGCCCTGAAGTTGTCCCAACAACGGGTTGTCACCCAACACATGCCCTGTATGTGGAGAGCAAGGAGAGCAGTCTTGCCCCATGACACAAGTAAGGCAGCTTCTCTCACCTCAGTAGGAAGGTAAGGGGCCAGAGTACAGGATAGCCAGGAATGAAGAAATAAGGAGACAGAGAACTGGAAACAGCAGATTGGCTGCTCAGCCATGGAAGAGGCTGCTGGAAGACAAGACAGGTGCCTTTATTCTTTAAGAGATAACTTGGCCTCTGCTTCCGAGTCCTGCCTGGAGTCCTGCACTGGACAAAGCTGTCCCTGTGTGCATCCCTGGGTATGCTGAGGTTAGGGAACTTCCTTCCAAGAGCTCGTGTTAGCACAGGTTGTGACTCTGGGTGAAAAGGATCTGAGCTTCTAAAATGTCCATGGGCGTATTAAACAGATTAAATGCTCTGAGGCAGAATCTGCTTAGAGAAATGTAACTGCCTGCTCCACGAGAAGCACAAAGCAGCATATGGCAGGGAAAGGTAAAAAGCAGTGCTTTTCTCCCGTAAAAGCAGATGAGACTTCTAGAGACAGATGTGTGACAGTATTCATGCAGCAGCTCCTCACCTCAGAAGACCCGGGTCCAGATGTGAGCGCGGCTCTGCAACCAGAGTGAGCTGCAAAGATGTGATCCAGCCAGGAAAAGAAAAAGATCTCTTCAGAAAAGGCACATTTTCCTGTAAGGGAAACCTGAAAACTTCAAGTCTCAGGTTGGCCTAGGTACGCCAATGGGCTCCAAAGGAAACATTCCTTACATTTGCACATATCCAAAACAAAAATTTTACTGAATTTCCAGTTCGTGGAGTACGTCAACAACATGCTATAAATTGAAATTGCAGCTTTCTTCAGAATCTGATTAAATTCGTCTTGGAAGCTGAGGAGAAATGCATGGGTGGGCTGTTTGTTTTGTTACCTTAGACTCTGCTCAGCACTTAATTCCTGTGGGATAAACTGTACAGAAGGAGAAACTCCTGTAATATATAGGCTCTGTGCTTCTATGATGAGGGAAGCAGGAGTCCCTTCCTCCCTCCCAGCGAAACCTCTCACTGGTTTAGCAAGAACACAGGGCTGTCTTGTGGTTCACTAAGTGTAGCAGTGAGTTGCAGGACACCATTTTAATTAGGGTGACACAGAGCCAAACTAATCAGCACTTCAGTTCTCTGATTGCTGACTTTTCTGCTCTCCTTTTGAGGCAGGTGCAGTGACAATAAATCCGGAGGGGGGGAAACAAATTTGGAATTGAAGTAAATTGATAAATAAGATGGGGAGCAGAAATAATCTCAGAACCATCATTCGGAGCAAATTCACTTCTACTGCCTCATTCTGCTGCTGCTGTGTATTTTGTGCAGGACTTGAGTCAGGCCTGCCAGGAAAATGTTTTATCCCAGCAGGGCGCTGCTGTGTGCCTGTTGTAATCTGGTGCTGGCTGCAAGGAGGGCTTTTCTCCAGTAGCAACTGATCAGACTTGTATCGGGGTATGGAAGCTACACGTGAGTGATGCAATTAATTAGAACGGCGAAAGCAATTAATTTTTCAGTCTGCTAACCAGTTTTTGGAAAATGATTTTGAAAACTTCCTTTTTCCCTTCAGTAATTGAAGGAACATTTTCAGTGATTTTCTGCAGCAGAAATTTGAGTCTCTTGGCAAAACAGAAAAGGAAAAATTAATGTAATGAAACAGTTAATAAATTCAAGTTGCGCTCAGGAAAATGGTAAAATGCGATTTCAAAGGAAAACCGAGACATCCTGTTTAAAAATTAACAAAAATAAACATTCCAAGGTTTTCGCTGGAGTTGTTTTATCAATTTGACACAAATTGAGCTTTGATCAACTCATTTTCCAGTAAGTAGCGTGTGCGTTTGGAAAATGTGCACATACTCCCCATTTAGTGCTCTGCCAAGGAAACCAGCGTCTGCTGCTGGAGCTCCAGTTATGAAAACATCAGTCCTCTCAATTCATCCGTGCAGCTCTGATTAACATCACTATGGGTTCTCGTTTGAATTGAGGGCAGCGCTGGAAATTGCAGGCTATTGAAGCACAGACAAGCAAGTCGGAAGCCAAAGACAGGTGACATGGAATTAAAAGAGCGAGACGAGGTGCGAGGATGGAAGCGCAGAGCAGTTGCTGGTATTGAAGCTGCTGTTCCTCCTCTTCAGCCCGGTTCTTCTTCGGTCTGTTATCAGGAGAGGAAGGGCAGTTTTTTGCCTGTCTGGTTTGAACTCAGCATGCCGTCTCCCATCCACATCCTGACCTTGCAGTTGTGCAAGCTAGCTGCAGATTGCCCATGCTGGGATTTGTACCTTCAAATCCAGAAAGCAAATGATTACAAACCTGCAGTCTGAATTGTTCTTTATCTCAAGTGCCAGCCAGACTTTCTCCGGCCTTGTCAATTTATTTAGATGGGTTGCTCTTCTTCCCCAGAGTTGGAACAGTTAGCATTTCTGTTTCTGTTTAAGCAGCTCTTTGTGATCTAATTTGTTTGGGAGCAGGTTTGTGATTCTAGAAGCTGCTGCCTGGAAAGCACCGTGTGTGTACGGTGTGACCTTCCACTTCATTCACTGCAAAGCTGCTCTGAATTTTAAAGGTGACATTCATACTCCTCTGGTGTGACAGGCTACCTGAATGGCAAATGGAATCAGGCCCTGTTAGGGGATATTTGCTGCTGGCTGCTCCAGCCTGCTACACAATGAAGCCCGTTTGCACACATGTCCTACACAAGCACTTCCAGTGCAGTCTTTCCAGCCCCTGTAATGACATTAGGAACTCTGATTACTGTTTACCTTGAGGATTGTGTCTTTGCAAGGCTGCTGTCTTTCTCTAGGATATGTGCCTGACTGTATGCCTTACTGTTCTTTTGGAGGGAGTCATCAGCAGGAGATAAAACACTAAAACATCAAGCATCCCATGGCACAGCACACAGCAGGCAGCTCCCAAACACACGGGTTGAGGACCAGAATGAAAATCCTGTCAGCGTTTTGATTTGGTTTTATGCTGCAGTTCAGCCCACTGGAAGGGCTGACCAGGAACCTGTAGCTTTCAGGCTTCACCTGCTCCAAACAATTGCAGAGCACTTTCACATAGCTTATATAAAGGGATAAACTCTTCATTTTAAAAAGTACAGCGAAGGAAAAACCTGTAATATGCTCTTCCAATGCTTAGCTACAATTCATATTAGATTGTTGCTTATCTATTTTTTTTTTCTGGGCTTGTCTAAGATCACAGCATCTGTTAGGTGTTTCTGTAGCTGAAGGGAACAGTTCTTATCAGCTTCCATTATCTGTGAAGCTCCCTATATATCAGTATCAAGTCGCCTCTTCTCTGAGAAAAGCTGAGTATATAGAACTTACCCACAGTTGTTTTACAAGCCTTCTTTGTGGATATTTTCTGCATCTCTTCAAGCTTTGTTGCTAGACTCTAGAACTAAAACACTGCAGTGTGTGCTTTCCTAGCATTAAACATGGTAGTGACAAGTATCTTCCTTGTACTTCAGAATTATCTCCTTATTTCTCCAATTGCTCCACCTTTTCCTCCTGATAGATTTGGAACTCAGCTAGTTACATTCAAGTTTCCCTCATTTCGAAGTTGCTTTCTAGGACCCCAGAACACCAGTTGCACTCCTCTGAATGTTGCTCAAGTCCTTCGCTGCCAGATGTTTTATTTTGACTACAGTAAGAGGCACATCTTTCAGCAGTAAGTCTTTTACCTGATACAGACAGCAAATTTGCATCAGACGGTGAAAAAAATCTAACAGTCTGGGTGTCATCAATACATAGCTTTTAATTGGGGATTAAAGTACAGGAAAAGAGGCCCTTCCAAGATCCCAGCATCTGGCAAGGTGCTGTCTGCTTGTCCTGGTCCTTTACAGGAAATAGAGGAGATCAGAACCAGCAGAAATTTGAATCCAAGCAGAGTTTTACAAATGGGTGAGGGGCCTGAGGATAAGAAGAGTGTTAATTCAGCTTTTGATCTGACCCCGGTTGGCTTGTGCCTCATCCAGGGGTCACCCTTCTCCACGCACCCCCAAGCTTCAGCTGCAGAAATGAGCTGCATGCATGCAAGCAGGCAGACCAGGGGGCATATTTGCATGCGTGCACATGACTTGCTAGGCTGAGCCCTTTATTAAGGATATTTTCAAACAACTTCAGTTAACAAAAGTGAAAAGGAAGCCCCTAGGAAGGTGCTATCATCGATCCAAACCGGCACATGCTGTTAGGGTAGAGGACTCTTGAAAAGGCAAGAGGAGAGGATCTAATCCACACCGGTTTTGTAAGTAAATCACTCAAACCAGCACCTTGTAAATCAATGCTGGCACAGCAACCAGTGCACAGACTGTTATGAGAACACAGATACAAAAGCTGTTAAACAGAGTGCATAACCATGTCAGAAATCCTGTCCTTTGAGAAGGCATTTGCGCTCTGGTGAAAGGGCATCACTGGCAG